GACAGCCTGGCCAAAGAAGGCTCAAATACTGCGTTTGTCGGGCCACAACCGGTATTACCCCACTCTATAAGCACAGCGAAAGAGAGTATTAATTGCTGGGGCATGAAACAATTACTTAAAGAATGGAATCTGTCCCCAGGACATAGGCAATCGAAAGAGTTTGTGAAGGAAATCAAACCAAAAGAATCGAAATGGCTATTCTCTAACTCAAGGAGAGGAATTATCCTGACGGGCCATTGCCCCTTGAGAAGACACCTCTTCTTAATGGGTATTTTACCAGACCCCTTTTGCCGCTTCTGTAAAATAAAAGAAGAAACGGCACGGCACTACCTCGCAGAGTGTGATAGGTATGCCAGGCATAGATTTGAAACTTTTGAAGGAGAGGACATTGCCAAATCACTCCCCAAGATAAAATGGTCCAAAATCTTGGGGTTTGTGAACAGGTNGTGTGTGTGTGTGTGTGTGTAGGGAGAGAGTATCTCGGACTAATTGCCTTCCGGGTCTGGCTGAAGAGAGCGCTAGTGAGGAGAGGAGAACAGGTGTTTTTTGACTGTTTTTTAGTGAGTTTTTGGCGGAAGACGTGTAAGACGAACGACACGTACTGTATAACTTGTTAATAAAGTGTTTATTTGGCAAGTAGTGCGTACCAATTAGTTACTCCCCCACATATATATTTACCCCACATATAATTTACTGAAATGAACGTAATTTATTAACGTAAAAGGAAGGGGTTATTTAACCCTGCCCGAGAAATATCGAGTACTCTGGGGTGAGTGGTGACGTCTGGATAGTAAAAATAAGTTATTAGCGTGAGTGGAGTGGGTTCGGCCCCGCCCCGAGGAATATCGCGTACTATGGGGTGTGAATGTGACCAGATTTCTATGTTTGTGTCAGGTGTTGCATTTATATTAATTTATTGGAATGAATGTAATTTATTAGAGCGAAAGGAAGGTGTTGTTTATGGTAGGTATGGCGATAAGGATACTATGAAGAGGGGTTTGTACTGTAGCCTCCTGGCTTATTGTACCTTCCTAGTTCAGTGCAATAGACTCAATACTTCTTCTTAGAAGTATTAAGTCATTGACTGTCGCTGCTACAATTTCATTCCCTGGGTTTTTTCGTATGTTAAGTTGAATCTCCATTGAGCTGATGCTTCGCATTCGAAGATGAATGGGCTGTTTCCTCCTCCTCATTACATAATCTGCTTATGGGATCATCGTTGTATATGCCCTTGTTGTGTAGATGTTTTCTCAAATGCCAGTGACCGGTTAGTAGTCCTATCACTCCTCTGAGCTTAGCCCTCTCCAGTTGCAGCAGTGATTTTCCCAGTCTTGGTGAGGGTTGTTTCATCATAAATTTACTATGTCTACCACCGCTAGAGTTATCCACCTTCTCCTTTTGTTTTGTTTGTGGATTCTATATTTGTTTTTGTTATACCAAGTATAGGTTCGGGGCCTATGTATGGTCTTGCGGATCCTCCTCTGGCCAGTCTGTCTGCTTTCTCGTTACCCAAAATTCCTCTGTGCCCTGAAAGAGTTGTTTAACTCCGTCCCGAGGAATATACTCTGGGAAATTGAATGTGACCAGACTATTTTTTGTATGGGGTGGTGATGTATACATATTTATAGTATGTTTTGTGTATATTCTGACAGCGTGAGTTACAAACGAGAGCCTAGCATTTTAGGATATCGACGTAATATACAAATAAAAGCAGAGAGTCAGTAACAAGATCGAGACGCTCAAATGGCTGCAGTTTAAAACTAAATAGTAAAATACTAGAAAAAAAACGCAGAAAGACGGTGATGACTTCTGCTGTTTGTCGGCCCTAAACCTACCACATTATATGTAAATATAAAAACAAATTCTTCTTCCTTTAATTTGATATTTTTTTCCTACATACAAAATAAATGGACAAGCCATATGAAAATTAATTCTTCATTTAATATGAGAAATGTGAAAAATAGTGGTTTTTAAGAAACCAATTATTTTGCATTAAAATAACCACAAACAAAAAATATTTGTTTTTATATTTAGTTTTACTATATAATTATTAATTTTAATTGTAATTAATTTTCATATGGTCTTCTAAGACTAAGCGCTTACATTTCACACCATCTCGTAGATTTTTTTGATGTTTCAAAGGAAGGGTCAATTTGAAGTTTAAAATGGCTAATTTGACGCTAAAAAGAATTAATTTGATGGGAAAAAAGCTATAAAAGCAGTGTAAAGGCGTTTGCTCACGGTCCAAGTTTTGTGGCTCAACTTCCTTCAACTAAATACTACAACTGCTAAAAAGTTGAACGAAATCTGTCGTGTTCCGTTCAGCAGAGTTGGTCAGCATTTTAGTTAGTATGTTAAATTTTAAGACTCCTCAAATCATTTAAGTTTTTAAAACCTCCCAAAGTTTATCTCTCTGCCTCACACACACACAAAAAATATATTGTCCTTTGATGGCCCGTCTGAATTTCTTTTGAACCAATGAAGCTATAAAAAAAATACTTATTTAGTATTTTTTAGTCTAGTTTCAAATTTTTACCTTTTTTGGAGAAAAATTAAATAGGGTACCTCAGGCCCAGTTCAACTTCATAATTTCAAATATGAACCTATACATCCAGACACATCATTTTGAAGGATGTCTTACGTTGAAAACAAAGGTGCAATCAGATTTTAAATTGATCAAAAACTGACAAAGTCATGGCAAAAAGAAATCGACAGCGTAATTTTGGACTAGTAGCTCAATATTTTCCTGTATGTTCGCGAAAATCCGAATCCTCTATCCGAAATGTTGGTAGGGTTTTAAGTTTTTCAAAAAATAAAGTTGAGACGTACTCCGGACTTAGAATTTTTAGTATAGCTCTCATCTTGTCCAGAAACTTCGGTACTTTGATTATGACAGGCGTCTAACGTCCCTTGCACAAACGTCGATTTGGGATGCGGAAGAAAACTATCTTCCATACGTCCTATGGACTGATGAATCCAAGTGTCTAATGATTTAATGACTGGTCGAAGAATAATGCTGAGAACATAGGGGAAATGAAAAAAATCGAAAATTTTTAGTGTCAAGATCTTCGTGTTGGAGCAAGAGGAGACACATCAACAATAATACAAAAAACCGAAGCAATATACGTGAATAAGACATAGATAAATATTGGGATATTATTAATAGCCTTAATAAATAAAAAAATTATAAAAATACAGCTTTTTAAAGTGTCATTACGTAAATAACAATAAAAATAACTTCAATTTAAATATATTGTAATTTCTCGCTGGTAAAACTCTTTTGCGTAAATTTCCATGCATTATTTAAAAGCGGGAATGACAATTTATTATAAAGAAGCCTCTTGGCTATTACTAGTAGGCTTTTCAAAAGAAATTGAATTAGGTTCGTAAACCCGTTGACATTATCTCACATCTTGTCGTGAAAAGATCAAGGTTTTTGAAAAAACCCGAAACCTTATGGTTTATGGAATTGTAAACAGCTTGTTTTTCCTCCTTGAGAGTAGCGAGACATTTGCAATTTTGAGGACGCATGCATGTCTATTAAATTGGAAACGAAAAAAATGGACACTGTTCATCTTGGCTCGTTTCCTGTTGAGGAGGTCAGATATGTGAGAAAAAATATTTAAAAAATAGATAGCTAGATAGAGAGAGAGAGAGAGAGAGAGAGAGATGGATAGATAAATAGATAGATAGAGATACATAGAGAAAGAGAGAGAGAGAGAGAGAGAGAGAGAGAGAGAGAGAGAGAGAGAGAGATGGATCGATAAAAAGATAGATAGAGAAAGAGAGAGAGAGAGAGATGGATCGATAAAAAGATAGAGAGAAAGAGAGAGAGAGAGAGAGAGAGAGAGAGAGAGAGAAAAGAGAGAGAGAGAGAGAGAGAGAGAGAGAGAGAGACGGATAGATAAATAGATAGATAGAGATACATAGAAAGAGAGAGAGTGAGAGAGAGAGAACATAATTAAATTAGGGGGGTTAAAAACAGTTAAATCCACATGGCATATATTTTTGGCATTTCATTTATAGTACTATAAACATTATATACATAGTATTTATTGTCTGATGTTTAATACAGATATTAATAATAAAAAAAGGAACTATTGATTAAAAAATGAATTTTTATATACAATTAATCATTGTTTTAAAATTAATAAATACTGAAAAGACTTGATCAGTAATTGTATGAAATATTTTATGTAAGTTTATTTAACAACAATTAAACACTCACACCTTCCTTATTCAATCATATGGTAAGTAAATGGCTCATTTAGCATTTGGTTTGAACATACGCGTAAATGAGCTTTTATCACAATGTGTTAACATCTTCCCATCCATTTGTCATCCTATGTTAGACCTTAAAGAACTTAATTGTAAATTTCTAAACATCCTACAATATGAAATAAACGAAATACATGTACACATAGATGTTTAGCTTATAATGTTGTCTTAAATATTAAACATTGGCTATCATTCTCATTTCTTAATCGCCATACCCGAAATATCATTAGCAGTCTTAAATCACCTAATGATCTCTACTCTTTGATTCAAGAATATAAATTGTAACATAGAATAACAAGGAATATTTATAAATTAATATATGTGCGTTTTAAATTCCTTATTAAAAACGTGATTGTATATACATATTAACATAATTGTTAATAAACAATATGCATAGAATAACAGCAACAATAATATAATACTAACATTTTTCATTTATAGGTACAATTTATATACATAACGTCAATAAATTTTGCTAATACTTTTCCATTTAATACAAATAAATTACACACAAAAAATGTTACATCAATACATTAATTCATTATAATTAAATATTTTTAAAAAACTGAATAAAAGAAAATAATGTAAATCTTTTTATACCCACAGGACCAGAAAAACATCGACTGAAACTTTGTTTAAAAATTTAAACAAAACCATTTAAAAATGCAACAAAATTTTTATTATGGTATTAATTTTCTTCATAAACAAATATGTAAATTAGTTATTTTTATTTTTATTTATTTATTTTTTTTTTTTGTTAATCTAGGATCCAAAGGGAAAAACATCAAATACAGGACAAAAATTAATTAATAGTTTTTTGTTCTACCACAAATTCTTTTTTCACGATCCTTTATTAAAGCCACATGTTGAAAAATGGACTGAAATGTTTTAATAAACATCAACAACAATATATTTAAGAGATGCAAAATAGTTAATAAAGACCACTTATATAATGATAAATGAAGTTTAGATTGGTCCAAAATCATCAATACTTTTTTTTTAAGTTTAAGTGATTAATCTACATTTTTAGACAGAAAGATATGTACAAAATAGTTTTTAAAAATATATAAAACAATATCAGTTCAACAGTATTAAGCAAGAGCTGTTAGTTGACCAGCCATTGATGCAATATAACAATTTCTCTTCAAACGTACTCAATTTCTAAAATTCGTTTTTAATTTTATTAATCTCATAAATTCTAAACTAATAATGGTAACAACGTGAAATTTTTTTTTAAATTTTTAATAAACTCTTGACATCAGTGATTAACATAAAATATATTTAAATTCTTCTACAGTCTTTTGACTAAATCTCTTATAAGAAGTCATAAAACGAACAACCGAATTGGCTGACATGCAATAAATGTTATAATAGTAAATGTAAGTAGAAGTGATTTTGCATTTTGCACATTAAACCTTTTTTGAAAATACAAAAATATAAACTTTTCAAAGCCAAGCTGTAAAATAACAACCAGGTTGCATGCACAATCAAAATAAATATTAGTTTCACTTAACGATATTTAGTATTTTTCAAATTAAGCTGTATCATATTAATAACAAATTTGTGTAAGTAGTTGAAAGCCAGTGGTAGATGGTACTAGAGTAAAATAGTGTTCCAATTGAAATTAATACAAAATTCATACAGTTGTCTAATTAATACAAAGGAAAAACTAAATAAAGATACCTTTGTATCATTTTGTACCTTTGTATTGAAAGATAAATTATCTGTACATTGTGTAAATTGTGCTAAGACGTTATTTTTTAACCACATTTTCATCAAAATCAATCAATAAAATCAAAATGCTACTAAGAATATAAAAAATATTACAATATTATACAGATTGACAGATTGTTTCAGTTCAAAATTTTTGTGATATAATTATTTAAATTCTCTTCTGAGAATGGAGTAATTTCATTTGTCAGCCAATGTGCAAATATTTGACATTACTTACATTTCAAGGATGTTCGTTTTCCTATTTTTTGGCAATGAACAAAAGAATTTACATTGTTTTGAAACAATATATATATTATTATTCATGTGAGCATGTTTTATGTAATATGCCGATAAAATCCGACAAACGCTTCCTGCAATATTATAAATTATTGAATTTCGAACTGAATACCTCTCTTATCATGAAGAGGTTATGATCACAATACTTTAGTTCAAATTTCTCACCAACTAATCTGTACTGATCAAAAATTACAAGGTTATAAAACCAAGACATAAAAATAGATGACCTACAGATGACAATATAAACTGTTCATGGAAGTCACTCAATCAACAAAACATTGTAACATGAAAAATAGTCAAATTGCAATTCATACACATTGTACATAAAGAAGAAACCTGTGTAATTAGTTGTTATCAATTGAGAGATATTAGTTTAGATTGTCCAAACTTGAACTTTTTCAGCAACCACACACCAATTGGCGTGATCGTAATATGATGATATAATGTGTAAATTTTCAACATAACGTTCTATTAATTGATCTAATTCTCCTTCTCTAAATACATGATAATATCTATGAAATGTAATAGCGCCCCCTCCGCTGTCTGATAGTAAGGAATCTTGTGATGTAGATCCACTCAGTGATGTTTCACAGCTTTGCGCTTTCGCTAGAAGCTCTGACGGTTCTTGAGTCGAGGCCCTTTGTCGCACAAGTTTGTTCATACAAGTTCGTGGGATGGGCATTTCTTCAGATGAAGACCTTCCATCGCATCGTGCCATCCTTCGGTCAGCAAACCTTGCATCTTTACTGCAGTCACTCGCTTTATCTGATGCGAAAGAAGCTGTACTCGGGGTTTTACCGGCTGAACTAGTGTTTTGGCGACTAAAGTCACTTCCTGTCCGATCGGAAACGTCTCCAGCTTCACTCGACTCAATAGAATTCCCTGGCCTTAGTAAAGAGTTTTGACTGCTGCTAGTAATATCTCCAAAAGACACTGCATCCCTCCTCGAATCACGGCTTCCATCACTACCGGCTCTGTCTGAATAATCTCCAGCTTCACTCGACTCTATAGAGAGACCTGGTCTCAAAGAAAGTACACTACCTGAATCACAGATTTGAATAGTCTCTCGGCGTGAACTTGGCCTACTTCCTCCTTCACTGCTACTTCCTGTTCTTTCTGATATATCTCCAGCCTCACTTGATTCAAGTGATATACCTAAATGGAGTTGGTTATCATTTTCTTTTTCTTTGGGAGGAATTTCTTGAGGTTCACTCATCTCAATTGATATACTAGGCCTTCTAGGCATATCTTTGGCAGGCAGTAGCTCAAATTTAATTGTTTCATCTTTGACTGCCATTTGTAAAGGCATAGGTATAGGCGACTCATTTTGAGGTAATGATGTTTGGGTAAATAAACCCTTACCTGGGAGTATCGTGTTTCTTCTAGAATCGGTCCAAGTTCCTTCACTTTCAGTACTATCGGGATCACTCAGTTCTGCCGAATTATCTGTATTCCCTGAATCGCTTTGTAAAGATGAAATGGATTCTTCTTTTTTTATTTCTAAATTATCAATAACTGGCTCATTGACCTTTGTCAAAAATGAATTTTTCAGGTTTTCATCCGTTGAAACTGGGTTCAAAGGTTCCACTACACTAGGAACTATAACTATAACATTCTGGCTTTCATCATTGTATTCTTGCAGGAGAGGTATTTGCTCTTCTGGCAAGTATTCTTGATTTGTTTCTGCAGTACTTCTTTGTTTGCTGGAAAGAGGAAGGAGTTGTTTGTCCAGCAGCAAGTCAATAGGATTTACAGATTTCAAATGCTCTTCATCGCAGCTATCCTCTTCCAAACATTTTTCGTCCATCGATGCTCCTTCTCCTTTTGTTCTACCTTTAAGTTCAAAGGTCGATTCAAATTTTTCAATGTGTTGTTTTTCCTCAATATACATTTGCAAATCGTGCTCACTTTTTTCTTGCAGCTCATAACTGAGCTTGGTCAGATCTTGCAAATCTTCACTTAGTTTACATAAATATGGATCTTGAAGGTCAGTGGTAATCGTAGAATCCCCTACATAAACAGGCGATGCTGGCTGAATAGAGCTCTGTTCTCTATATCGATCAATTTCAGCAAGAAGTTTTTCACTTAATTTTTCGGCAAATTCGGCTAAATGTTGTCTACATTCTTCATCCCACCTCTTATAAAGGTATTCTTCAGAATCGGCACATGGGTTTGTATTTTTATTATCAACAAGTGAAATATTTGTGGCAGCAGATTTCATACCAGGGTAGTTAACAGACAAAAGTTTTTCTAACTCATCTTTTGCTTTCTCATGAAACAAACTAGTTTGTGATCCTAAATTTTTGTTTTCAAATAAATTATCTTGAAGAGCAAGGCGTACATCACTTTTTAACGGATATTGCTTTCTTTTCGCTTGAGGACTTGATTGGATAACAACATCCACAGTTTCTTCCAACGTATTTGCAACATCAGCAGCGGCTTCCAGTAAAGGCGACAGTCTTGCTGAGCTTTCCGTCGGCTCTTCCAACTCTAGGTTTAATTCAGTAGTGTCATCAATAGGAACATTGACTGGAGTTGATTCTTCTTCATCATCAGCACTTTTGTCGCCATTTGTATTTTGTTTGGACGATTCAATATTTTCTAAAATTAAAAACATTTGTATTAAATTTCTCTAAAGTAAATTTTGATAATATTTAAGAATGAATGTAATAAAAGCAATGGAAGTGATAAATAAATATATCATGTTGCTAAGTTTCTTTTTAATTCTAGAAATATGGCCAAAAAACTGTAAACCTTGAAAATGTATGTATTGAACTGAATACCTGCTGGGGCTTCATCATCATATTTTATTGATATAACACTTCCTACAGAATCAGGGGAGGATAAGCCAGAAGAATCGCTGTCCATGTCATCTGTTTCTGGATTAAATATTTCAAGGGAAAGCAGCCTTGGCACTGGCCTCTGCAGTGGTGTATCTGTCCTTCCATGCATTGTCGCTGATCTTCTTACAAGTGGGTACTGCGATCTTAATGTGACACTACTTACACCTACTGAGCCTTAAAAAAAGAAAAAAGAAAAAAAAACAATAATTTAAAAATATATACTGTCCATAATTTATTTTTTGAAGAAGCTTGGCGTAATCTAATATATTGATATATCAGTGATGATCACAGTGATGAGATGGTCATCAGGTGATATATCAAACTTGAAATGACAAGGTCATGCTATATCTCATTTGTAAAACTGTTGAATTAATATATTATATTGCTATTATTGATCAGATACGAGAATAAAAGCCTGTGATGGATATGTTCTGGTTATCTGGTGATTATATTTTTCACTCATTTCTGATGGTACAGATATGTTTAAATTAGCACAAATTATATTTTAAAGAAATGCAAAAAATGTTTGAAAGTTTCAGACCAGTTTATACATTTTGAGAGAGAAATGACAATTTATCCCTATAAAAGTTTTATTATTTGGCAAAACAATATTGAAAGTTTGTAGCAAGTTGTGTTAAAAATTTAAAAATTTATTGGTATGAAGAGCTCCGCTGTAAGTCGTTATAAACTGTTTTATGTATGTAAGTGAAATGATTTTCGTACGGGGAAAAATGGGCATTTGCTTTGAAAATATATTGCTTTTTTCCATCAAATTAACACTTTTTAATTTCAAACTAACATTTTTATCCAGTTTAACCCTTTGTTTAAAACATTAAAAATAACTGGGCTCTTAATCATATAAACTAAAAAACTAAACCATACAAACCATATAAAAATTAACACAAATTCTTCTTCTTTAAATTTCAGCTTTTTTTAAATTATAAAATAAATGAGCTCTTAAAAACAATGAAAATTAATTGCAATTAAAATTTAAACATATAAAATAAAGGATTGGTCTTTTAGTATGAGAGCTGTAAGAAATGTTGGTTTTTATAAGCCTTATGATTCTATATTTAAAAAAAAAATCAAACCATCTCTTAGGCTTTTATGTTTTATCTCTTTTATATCTTAATTGTGAAATTAAAAAGGGTTAATTTGAAATTTAAAAGGGCTAATGTGTAACAAAAAAAAAAGAGTTAATTTGAAGTAAAAATAGGGGGAGGGGTTATTCCCATTCCCCATGCTCCATTTGTAAAAGAGTTAATTTAGAGTGAAAAATGTTAATTTGAAATCAAAAATGGTTAGTTTGAAATTTTAAAAAAGCTCATTTGGAGTAAAAAAGAGTTAATTTTAAATTAAAAAAAATAATTAAAAGTGAAAAAGGTTAATTAAAAAATTAAAAATGGTCAATTTGTGTTTTTTATTTGTATTATTTTATCCACAATTGATGAGACCCTGAGGTACAGGGAAGCTAACAACAGGACAAAGAAAAGTTGGTTACCATCCTAATTGGTCTGATCATAAATAGGCTGGAGAAATAGAAAAAAAAATAGTAAATTAAAATGTGAGAAAGAAGTTAAGAAAGGGAACCAATGTAGTGATTGGCCCTGAACTTAAAAAAATAAAAATTTGGAAAATGATTACAATAAAAGTGTACAAAAATGGTCCCCAAAACGCAATGATATACTTACCTATTTATAACAGAATTGGAGAAGAAAAAAACTTATACAATTACACTTGTAATTTTTTTTAAAGGGATAGTTTGATAAATCTGTGATATTATCTAATTGAGAACTTTGCTTATCATTTTGATGCATAATTCAAATCTCTCCCTTAAAATAAAATTGTTGAAAAAATGAAAGCATAATTAAGCATGCAAAGCATAAAAAATATTCTTTTAAACTAAACAAAACAAGAACAATTTTTTTAATATTTGCATTCATTCTTTTCACTAAACAGTAACCCCAATGGTTTTACAGAGATTGTTTCAATAGGCTCTATTTATTTTAGCAACATAATTTTAATTCCGTGCAATCACATGAAATATCCTCGTCCTCAAATTTTCAGACAAATTCAACTATTTTCCGTAATAACTGGGCACAAATAAAATATTTTTTAAAGCACTTATAGATTTAAAACAAGGCTAAACCTAAAGAAATCCCTTATCCCTCATTAATTTTTTGATAATTAGAAAATTAATTACCCAATTATAAAAGTAAAATGTGAGAGAACTATACAGATCAAAGCACTTCAAATTAATAGAAAAAAGAAGAAAATACCAGAGTATGTTTATTATTAGAATGTAGCATAAAAAATCAGCCTCTCTTTAAATTTATTTATCAATTAATAGTGTTGAGTTAACATTTAACTTTACATTTCTGCAAACAATTTTATGTGTTTGCGACATAACATCCACAACATAAATAAAAAAATTAAAAAAATGTGAATATTGAACTATTGTGACAAAGGTGAAAACTAGAATGATAATGATTGTTGCCAGGAACAAACACTGTATTTATATTAAAGCAATAAGGGAAATAAATTGTGAAAATAAACAATGAAGTCCAGAGTCAATTTAATTGTTAATTTATTGTACAACATAAAAGACCATTTACATGCATCTCTACATACTTTTTATAAAATCGCTACTGATAAAATATTTTAAAAAGTAAGAATATGCCATGTCTTACATGGGTTAGGATGTGCTGAGGCCTCTTTTTTGACTGTAGACTCTTCTTTGGTTTTAAGTACTACTTCTGATGAAGTTAGAGGGCCGACTTTGACTGCAGCTAATGGCTTTTTAACTGCGGTGGGTGATAATCCTGGAGACAATGCCGGCATTCCTAATTTTCCTTGGTCACTTGTTTCCTTTTCCAACAAAAAGCTAGAAAATTCCATTTTATTCAATGAAGGAGAAGGTACGAATAGGGGTTTTGAAGAAACAGATGGGCTTGTTTCATTCTTGTGTGATGGTTCAGTCGGGGAAGGGGGTCCAACTTGAGGTATATTAAAACTTCCAAAGGTTTTTGGTGTCGGTGGTTTATTCATTTGACTGGAATTTACTCCTCCATTATTATTAGGTGGCATTTGGAATTTAAAAGTATTACGAGTCGTAGGCGATGTCAAAAACGTCGTCGGATAAGTCCTCGGTGACGTCGGCTGTGGGAAGTACTTAATTTTTGGAGATGTTGGTGTCGTTGTGGAACTCATTAACTGTGCAGGGTGTTTAATTTTTGGTGACGAAGGATGGGAGGGAAGTCCGAAGGGCATTTGTGATGGATTTTTCATTTTAGGAGATACAGGAGGTGGAAATTTAATTTTTGGAGAAGTCGGTTGAGGAGATGCTGGCGTGGATTGCATTGTTGGAGAAGTGTTGGTAGATTGTTGCTCCATGGGATCAGATTTTGGAACAAAAATTACAGAAGCGAAACTATCTTCTGAATCGACACTAGTGTCACTTTGCAAACTGCTATCTTTCGAAGAGTCAGAGCCATCTTCTCTGGAATGTCTTCTTTCACTCGGTTGCTCTTTCTTTTCTAATACAAATGCTTTGAACTCATTTTGTTGTGGGGGAGGAGTAGGCTGTTGGGTTGGAAGACCTGAATCACCACTTGTCCATCCTTGTAATATACGAACGAAGCCATTCTTAATTGATGCACCAGCAACTTTCTCTATACCCGTTGTAGAACTTTTAATTTTATTAGTAAGTCCATTTTTTAATAATTGAAATCTTTTAGCTGTTGATGTTGAAAATAGTGTATCTTTAAGGGAATCAAAAGTTTTGTTGTTTCTATTATATATTAGTTCTTCATTCAAGGAAGCTTGCTTTTGTATATTTTGACGAACTTTTTCTTTTTCCTTAAGACGTTCTGCTGACATCAATTCTTCATTCATAGAGCTCTGTTTGAAAACATTACCCCTTCGATTGATTCCAAACCCAGAAATTTTAAATTCCGGTAATGATTTTACCAAATCTTTCATATCCATGGCTTTATCCCTTTCTTCACTTTCAACATCGTCATCACAAACAGACTTTTTTTGTTTAACTAGTTTTGGTTTATTATTAGTTGATATGTTATTATCATTATTTTTAGTTTCATGAATTTCTAGGCTGGGAACACTCGAATGTGAACGGACTAATGATCTTTGATCTGTTGTAATTATATCAGTTAAGCTTTTAGATTTATGATTTAAGGGCGGTTCTGTAACTTGTTTAGAACAAGAGAAAATCTGTTTCTTAATAACTATTGTTTCTTGATCATCTTCAAGTCTTCGTAGCTCAATCGGCAAATCTTGTATATCCTCACAACCATCAGGATCATATCTGCGAGGGGGAGGTTCCTTTGAGGTACAAGAAGTCCATGATTCAAGAAACCAGGGTTTGCTGCGATCTCCATCCCGTTTAACCCCAGCAAGTTTCTGAAACATTTTATAGAAAACTGGTTATAGAAATAGTTCGAAAGCCCCAACAAACTCAGTGTTGTTCTTTAAGAAGAGAATTTAGACAAACAGATAAAAAAATAAAAAAAATTAGAAAATGAGGAAAAATGGGACATTAATTTTAAACATGCCTTTTGTTTCAGCCTATTTGTCATCGTAAGTTCCATATTATTAAGAGACACATTTTCATTTGGTTATTTATGAATACTGAAAGAATAATTGAAACATATATACATCAACCCCTTCACTACACCAATTATTACAGTCACATTATCAGTATAAATTCTAGTCAATTGTGCCTTATAAACTTAATTAAAAAAATGTTGATGTCACATTCTATTAATACAAATTCCATGAGAACAAAATTGCTTTACATTAATTATAAATATTTATTTCCAAGATAATATCAAGATTAATATTAATTGAAAAATAAGACTAAAAAAATCACAATTTGTAATAATAGTTTATTTAACTAGCTAAATATACGCTATCACTTGGCCAAATCACCTAACAAATCTAAATCAACGAGTTTTACTTTAAAATACTAGATTCTTTAATAATACTTGGGCCTGGGACAGTGGGTAGACTAATCAAAACATACACAGTTTGAAGACAGAATTGTACAATTCTTTAAGAATTGAAGATATTTTGAAAAAAGACAGGCATAAAGAAAAAACAGAAGAACTTAAAATAAACTTAATAAAACACCAAATATAGTTTAGCTTATATATATAGGAGGAATATCATGGAATATCATGCTAACAATGCATCTCATTTTTCACAGAAACTTTTGAGGTATCTAGGACAATAATTAAAACACGCAACTCACAAAATGTATGTATGTATTATTAATATTAATGTAAATGTAATGTTTTTATTAGCAAGCAATGATTGTAAATGTAGTCTATGAAAATAACGGTTGAACAATCCTATTTTGTTTTGTATAAGGATAACTAATACAATTGTGCTACATGGATGAAGGCAATTGTATTGCCTAAATATATTATATGTTAAGAACTTTGTAACACATCAACATGCTCCTTCAACTCTGACCCCACTCTCCCCTACCTGTGATAATGATATCGCAAATTTTAATAATAGGCCCAGCAAAAAAGGGGGCGCAGACGAGTGTGATGTCTCAGGCCCTGTGGAGTATGAGCCTCCATGTTTTGCTCCTGCTTCCTATAAAAAAATTTTGGAATTGTTTTTAATACTTTTTCTGGTGTAAATAAATGGGCTGCTGTTGGTAAGTGATGAAGAACTCGACCTTATATAAGGTGTGTAAATATTTTTTGATATGGAAATCGATCCTTAATCGTGAAAATTCCATTTTCGCCATTGATTTTCATGGAAGTATCTCTGCAATACAAACTTTTAGGAGTACCAGAATATTTATCATTGGTCTATGCGTCTTTCACCAGTGATCAATGAGTTGTCACAACTGCTTGTTCTTTTAACAATTTTAATATAATTATACTTTTTTTAGTGACGATTTTTGATATCGATTTCTCATTACTGGGGAGTGTGCATGGTTAAGGTTAAGTAGAGTTAAGATTGATTAACTGGGAGGGGAAGGGCAGCAGAACAAGCTGTGCTTATTTTAGCAGTAAGAAGAAGAAATAAGGGTGTCCTCTGTTGGTGCAAAGGCCTGAGGTCCTACTCTGGGAAAGAAAAAGCCTATACCTGAAGGTACACACACCTTTAGAAAATCTGTGGGATCTGGTAAAAAGCCTTAAACTTAACAAAGAGCTCTAGACAATGATGGAGGTGCACAAGAGACCAGTCATGAATCATAAAGAGGCAAACTCCTCTAAACCTTCAACCTCGAGGTTAGGTAGGTTTAGGGACTGGGTTCAGTTTGGTTAGATTAGGTACAGGTAAGGTTAATTGGGGTGGGGGTAACAGACAAATATTGGTGCGGTTGTGAAGAGGTTGACTTGTTTTAACATTTAAACTTTAGGGTAGTTAGGGTTGTGGTTTGGTTATGTAAGATAGCGTTAGAGGCATGTGAAATTAGTTAGACAGAATTAAGGATGGGTTAGGTTAGATTAGGTAGGGTTAGGGGGGCATGTGAAATTAGTTAGACAGAATTAAGGATGGGTTAGGTTCGATTAGGTAGGGTTAGGGGGGCATGTGAAATTAGTTAGACAGAATTAAGGATAGGTTAGGTTAGATTAGGTAGGGTTAGGGGGGCATATGAAATCAGATTAGGTAGGATAAGTTTAGAGACAGGTTACAAAGCCTTGATTCATTGTTTTTCTGTGAAGCAGAGAAAATATGCAAGTGTGAAGTGTAATTTTCTTATATATAAATGTTTTTTACTCCAGTTAGTCCTGGATTGATAAGGATCATCTAAATGAAACAGAGCACAATTTAAATTTAAATACAACAGTGTTACACAGTTTCAACAAATGGAGGGAACTTGGAGAAATTTGAAATTAAAAAAATTTAAAATTTACCATGGAGAAAAATGCATAAATAATCTAAAAGATTTTGATTTTCCTCCTATTTTAAATATGTACCTGAATAATATTTGAAGTACAAATTATTCTAATTAATTTATTTAATTTTATTATCAATGTTAATTTTATTAATTAATCAATAAAATTAATCACTAATTTAAAATTATGTTATTAGATTATTTATTAGGATAATATTTAGTTGTGTTGTAATTCCCACTTTCACATGTTCAAAATTGAGCACCAATAAAATCCAGCTTCTCATTGAAACGTTGTGTTGGCGGTTGATCAGCGGGATCACTCTTACGAGATGTGCAATGTGCTTGTAACTCCTTTCAATGTGATGATGAGCTTTAAGCTTGAAATCGAGATAGTTGTAAACAAATTTTCAAGTAGAACCATTTTTTACAAAAAGTGAATCTACATACTAAGCCACCTTCGTCATTTCAATAGGTGAATTTTACATTAAAAATGGCTATTTTGAAATTAACAAAGGGTAAAATTGACACAATAAAAGATATAGAAAAATATTACAACTATAACAATAACATTATTTTATGTACACTCAGCAGGGTTAGAATTATGGCAATATAACAAGAAATTAGGGCACTTTAAAAAAATTATATATTTATTTATTTTACGGTTGGCTAGTTACCAGCGCATGACGAAAAGAATTGGCTCTCCTGAAGGAGGCCTGGTGATCTTTCAGATGGAAGTTCTGGAACTTGATTTCTACTCGTATTTACCCGTCCACACGTGGTGAAAAGGCACTAAAACTGATGCATACCCAGGCATTCAACCTTAGCCTAACCTTAGTTTGGGGGGTTCAGGGACTGGATATTACACTGCAGTCCCACCCCCATTCATGCTAATAAATACAGTCATAGTGATTATAACATTTTATATCTTATGTGCAGTTAAAAGTTGAGGAGCCATTGAGGTATTAATATTACTCCTGTGCCTCCCACCTTTCACTCTAAAAACACCTATCCTAATTTAGTAGAATACTAGTAATTAAGGTTTTTAGTTGAGATAAAAAAGTCAATGGCACGAGCGGGATTCGAACCCACGATCTTCGGCTAGATACGCCGCTGCTCTACCACTTGAGCTATCGTGACTTCAATCCACTCGGACACCAACTTCCTATTTCAACCCCATCTTTTGAATTTTCCCTCCTTTTTGCCATTTTTCAAGTAGTAGTTAGTAAAGGAGGGAAACTCAAAAGGTCGGGTTGAGATAGGAAGTTGGTGTCCGAGTGGATTGAGGTCACGATAGCTCAAGTGGTAGAACAGCGGCGTATCTAGCCGAAGATCGTGGGTTCGAATCCCACTCGTGCCATTGACTTTTTTATCTCAACTAAAAACCTTAATTTATTGTAATATATTAATTGGTCAAGCGGACCACGAAATTAGTGAATCTAATTTAGTAGGTGGTATTAGGAATTCTGCCACAACCCACCCATACATACTCAACACTCAAGGTTATAAATACATCCATTCAAGTCTCAAAACATTCACAGAACAATCCTAACCTAGTTTTGTGGTTATGGTACCTCATCTTCCGCCATAACCTACCCACCCATACTCAACTCTCACGGTAATAAATACATTCATTTCAGGTAGGAAAACCACGCGCATTTTTGCTCTTCAGTTAACTTAACTTTTTGCTGCCATAGTACATTTTTGAAATTCCAAGAAAAGCCATACATTGTTCTGTGCAGCACGAATTGTCTGCAGTCAATCAGTATATGTTTAACGGTTACTTGTGTGCTGCACAGGGTATATTTCCATGGTCTTTTGTTAATAAGGAGATATAGGCCATATATTTATTATAGAGAAATTATATTATATTTGAAGCAAAAATTTCACTAAGAACGGAAACATACCTTTAGTGCTCTGCGGACAAAACTATAGCAGCTTTCATTTGGACTTGATAATGATGAACTACTTGGTGAAGGAGCAACCTCTTTGTGCTTACATTTGCTCCGCTTCGCTCCAGCACCCCTGATTCATGGATTTATTATTTATAATTGTTCTATTTACTGATTGTTTCTATGTTTCTCACCGAGCTGAACGGCATGAATCACTATCTGAAGTGTGCGTACATGCAGTATACAAGTGATGGTGAGAATCCTCTTCACTAGTAGTTGTAGTTGGAGTTAACTCCAGAGAGGGAGTACTGAGTGTCTTTGGACGATGCCATGGGACCAATACATCTTGAGATTCAAACTAAATCAACATTTTCGTTTAGAATTCATAGTGCATGTAATAAACAGAGAAATTAAAATAATTTATTAAACTTAAACAGTAGTATAAGCTGCCAAAATAATCGGCTATCAATAGATGTATTTTTAGTGTCCCACTTGATACAATTTCAACAACTTTGCACCAAAATCACTACCCTCACATTTTTTGTGTGAAAAAATTATACATGTGTCAGGTGAGCAGAGGTCTTCTTTCATAGAAGAAAGTGAATGTTTATAACACAATTTAATATTTATTTCTATGACCAGGCAAACACAGTATAGCCATTGAGTTTAAACTAAAACAGATTGCACAAGGCCTCTGTGACTACTGCAAAAGATGGCAGAGACAACATATTTAAATCCATTTATATGTAAATGATATTATAATAAAGTAATAAACTGTGTTAATGCTTTATCTAACAGCATATTATATTAATTATTTGTTTTATTTTTACCTGGCCAATTTTAAAACGTTGGTGATATATTAAACATGATGGTTTGTGCTATGACATTTCATCATCCTGTATCAAAATTATGTACATTTATTTCTCATTTATTATGGATTAGAATACCGAAAACAAAGTATTGTCTTTAATCTCTTACATATCTTCTAAAATTAGCCTATTAAAAATAAAACAAATGATCCATAATGTTACATAAAAAAGGCAACAAAACAAAATGAAGAATTTAAACATATATGAAAAAACTGTAGCATGCTGTATAATTCTAGGGAATATTTACCTTCCTGTGCCTTTGTTCCATTGCCCACACTGTTATTACTAGTCTTCCTCCTATTCTTAGAACTCGTGCAAGTTCTTTTATAGCACCAATTCGCCTTTCAGTCGTTGCAAAATGGTGGACAACGGCTATTGAAAGCACAGCATCGAAACTTTCATCCCGGAAGGGTAAAGCAAGATTATCACAGACCAAAACCTATAACATAGGGTTGTTTTTATTAAAAAGTTGTATCTACTAAACTTAAAATTAGAATATAATGTATGTTGCAATTAGGAAATTTATACTCACTTCATTTTGATCCTCTCGGGCATGTTCAGCCAACCTGCTACATCTATCTCCTCCAATTTTAAATACTGATGGATTAATGCTTAAGTACTTTCCATTTCCACATCCTGGAAAAAAATGGAAGGTTGTCTTGATAAGGTTATAAGAAATCTATGTGAAGAATAGTCCTGCGTCACAAAATTAAATTCATTTGATATTGTTATATATTGATGTTGATCACTTGTTATATAGTTTTTTTACCAACAAATTAACCCTTTTGAACTTCAAATTAAAAATTTTTAATTTCAAATTAACCCTTTCTTTAAAGCAACAAAAAAACTTAAAACCAAAATCAAAGTTATGTACAGTTAGATATACTTTAATATGGGACATATATAAAATACCATATGAACTTTTATTAAAATTAGCATTTATGAATGTGCTGGGATTGGGGTTAAGGTCCTTTTTTTCTAGAAAATTAAACTAATGTTTCCTCTTGTTAAACAACAACAATAACAAAACAATACAATAGTTTAATTTTCTGAATATGGAAGGCGACGGTGGCCGCAACGGTTCAGGTGTTGACATGGCGCTCATCACTGCAAGGTCCCGGGTTCGAATCCAGCAGCCCTAAATTTAAACCTGACATACTAACACATGGGCTTTTTTCATACACATCAGCACCCCGAGGGTTCAAATCAACTCACAATTGAACTACCTTGGGTTAATATAACCTCTTCTGGAAGAAAAAAAAATGGACCTCAACCCCGATCCTAACACACCTAAGAAACTGATTTAAAAAAAAATTAAAGTTTACATGTTTCAGGTTTTTCCTAAAAACGATAAAAAGTAATAAAAATAAATAAAACCATAATGTAAGGCAATTAATTAAGGTTTTTAGTTGAGATAAAAAGTCAATGGCACGAGCGGGATTCGAACCCACGATCTTCAGCTAGATACGCCGCTGCTCAACCCTTTCATTTGTCGCCGAGAATCCAATCCGATTACACGACATTTGAAAAATGGCTAAAAGGAGGGAAAATTCAAAAGGTGTGTATTGAGATGGAAAGTTGGTGTCCGAGTGGATCGAGGTCACGATAGCTCAAGTGGTAGAGCAGCGGCGTATCTAGCCGAAGATCGTGGGTTCGAATCCCACTCGTGCCATTTACTTTTTTATCTCAACTAAAAACCTTAATTAAATGTAATATATTAATTGGTCAAGCGGACCACGAAATTAGTGAACATAATGTAAGGGTTGAATTGTTGTCCTCATAAACAAAGTTATAGACTCCATTACTTATTAAAAATTCTTTCACTTTGCTATTTTCATTTAACTTTGATTTAATACTTTTGAGGTAATAAGCGGATAGCGTGTCAGCCTAATGAACTGAGGTCATCACAGACCACAAAGTCGTGGAATATCCTGTTGCATTGCACTTAAATTTTCTATCTGATCCCTCACCCATGATGCCTGTAGAAAGTTTTACTTTAAGCCCTATAGTATGAATAATAATAAAATAAGAAACATGATTTAAACAGAAGAAGAAGGATGGACCAATTGTTTGAAAAGTAAACTAGTTGAATTGCATTGATATAACCCTTATTTGTAAAAATTATGTTTTTTATTAATTAAACTAATACATTTACTGATAATTCAACATTATTGTACAACAGGCAAAGCACTAGGCTGTCGTAATACATTACTGAAAGCGTTGCAACTTGGATTTTGAAAAATCAGGCAAGGCAGTTTGTAAATGTGTATTTTCAATTAACGGCCAACATGGTCTCCAAAGTATAAAATTTTCACCTTACCCACATCACAAACTAAGGATCCTGGCTCCAATTTGTTGAGGAACTGAGTGACTCGGGGCCATGGAGGATGCTGCCTTTGGTCCCCCCCTCCCATCTGATGGTAGACCTCATGGACATAGGCTTGCTCCAAAGCCAGGCACCGGGCCTCCCGTTCCACCATTGCTCCCTATCACTTCATCACCTCACTCTCTGTGAAAAGACATAAAAAAAAAGCATCTTTAATAGTATATACGAATTTGTATATAAATGGTTTGGACCGGATACTACAGAATGTAATGAATAAGATCTGTTCATGTGCAGCTAATTTTAAGAAATACCTCCCAGAAAATCTGGCTAAAATCAATACAACAGTACCCTAACTAATTACATAAAAACATAACATTGAACACAACAATGGTATAAACTTCCTTGACATGACTATTATAAAAGGTGAGAAGAGATTCCAGTTCGACATATTTGACAACCACCATTGAAAAAAAATAGCAATTTACAAGTTGGAGGGAAATTCAAAAGGTGTGATTGAGATGGGAAGTTAGTGTCCGAGTAGATCGAGGTCACGATAGCTCAAGTGGTAGAGCAGCGGTGTATCAAGCCGAAGATCGTGGGTTCGAATCCCGCTCGTGCCATTGACTTTTTTATCTCAACTAAAAACCTTAATTAATTCTAATAAATTACATTCACACATTCATTCTCACTACCCCAGATTAGTAAAAATTCCTTAGGGTATTTGGGGATAAGTCTCTCCATTCATGCTAATAAATTACAATAATAATCTATGCTTTTAGTACTTTCTAGTAAACCATATTTAAACTGGTTTATAAATATTACGTAAAGTTTGGTTGAAATGAAAAATTAGTGTCACGAGTGGGACTCGAATCCACGACCTTCGGCTCAATACACCTAATTTTTCACCTCAACCACACTTTACATAAAAATTAAAAATCAGTTTGGTTTATTAGGACCAAGTAAAAACATAGAGAGTTGATGATGGTAATTGATCTGCGAGTCGGTGAACTCATGTTGAACCGGCACAGGGTCACTTACTGGGTCTGTCTCTACTCACAGAACTTTTTGACATTGCGCCATCTTCAGTGAGGAACTCACTAACTAACCTAGAGTACATGATATTCCCCCAGGTAATTGGGGATAAGCCCCTCCAGTCCTGCTAATAAATTACATTCAATCAACCTCAAAGTACTCAACGATATTCATCAGGGTGATTGGGGATAAGTCCCTCCATTCATGCTAACAAATTAAAGGTGAATTAAAATGATATTAAATTAAAAGCTTTCATTTTTTTCCTTCGAGGTTGCTACATAGAATTATAAAAGTAATTAATTTACCCATTTTTAACTGGATCATTAACAACAATGTTTAAAGAATTATTTTAAACCAGTGAAAATAGTTAGTCATACACCTAGGGCAATATCATGTTATTTTATGTATTAATAATGTAGCATTAACAAAGCATGTATCTGGTTCATTTAACTTATTCTGAGGTTTCTGCTGTTTGTTTTATGTCAAATTTGATTACGTACATTGTTCCTTTTGGTTAGAAGATAAAAGAAACTCTGCCTTTGATAATTCATCTCCATAAATATTTTAACTAATAAAATTATTAATTCATTATGAATTTAACAAACTGATGATTATCTGATGATGCAGTTGAAAGAAATGTAACGTGTTGAATTTCTTAGTGAAAGTACACCCTAACACCAGGTTGTATGTGTTTGTCCTAGTAAAAAATTTTTAAAATTTTATATAAAATTTTTACAACAGAGATAGAAATATTATTTACACTAATTATTCAATCAAACTTAACATACCATTTGATAGATATTTGACTGGATTAACTGTTCATCAACACATCCCACTATCCTGAAAATAAAGAAAAACGTTGTTAACTATAATTAAATTTATCAAATTGACCCACAATACCCAAGTTTTTACATATATAGAAATCGTAATTTTTAAAACAAACCAGCAAGGCTTTGTAAGTTTTTAGACAATTAAATGAATAAAATGGTGAATTCTAGCATCTATTTTTTCGGAATCATAAATTGGTTCAACAAATTAATGTACTATTGCTACATAAATATCTAATAATTGAAAATTGTCCTTTGAATTTTTTTTATCTCCGACGCCATGCAGGTTGATTTTAAAGCATAAAATTTATTTCTAAATATAATGTTTCACCCATGGAATACAATACAGATAACAGTCAAGGATGTAATAGTGAAAATAATTTTGATATAATTTTTTTAAGTATGAGAAAAAGGTAATTGAGCAGGGTTATCTGGAAATCAAGACGAGCTTCTGTAGTTGCTTTTTTCTATTTAACAGGGAGGAAAAGGACAACTTTTATATAAATCGAAAATGTAAGGTAGAATATGTAAACGTTTTATATACAGCAGTCTATGTAAATAGCGTAGTAAAAACTGCTCAACATTGAATGAAAAAAAAATATTGCGTTAGCGTAAGCTCTTCTTTCAAATATTGCAATAATTAACTTTTTTTAAATTTATAAATTTTTGTTTTTTCAAATGAAAGCAACATTAGATTTGACTAAAAAAAAAATAAAAACAATGAAAATCGGTTCAGATAAACTTTACATACCATTTTTCAAATTACCCCTTTTCAAATTCAAACGAGCCCTTTATAGTTTCAAATTAATGCCTTTCTTGAAAATTCAAAAAACCTAGATGGTATGAAATGTAAGCACATAAAGTAAAATAACTTCTTTTGAAAAAAATTAGATATAAAATATTTGGGCTCTTAGAAGACCTTATGAAAATTGATTTGAAAATTAATTAATTAAGTTTTTTGCCTACTTGCCTAGTCACCACCTCGCAAAAAAGCTAGTAGGCGCTAGCCGTAGCGGAGCCCCCACTAATTTTTATTATCACACTCTTTTAAATAAGTAAAATAAAAAGCAACTCCAAATAAATAAGCTCAAAAAGTTCTGCACCTCTCTATTTTTGGCAGACTCACTAGAAAAAATAACCTGCAAACAATATTTTCTATGCATTTTCCTCTTCATTTATTCTATTTTAATTACCATCTTTGTCGTACACACTACATACAATTGTCCATGTGTAAATATTGTGTTTTTTTAATTAATAATCAAACCTATTTTCTCCAAACTTTGTCCTTGTGACTTATTTTATAGTCATAGCAAATGCTAGACAGACTGGGAATTGCAACCAAAACTAAGAACATTTCGGTATCTCCTTGTATGTCTAAATATATTCGAGGGGTATTTCACAATATTTCATTTTTTATTGTAAATATTTCACAGTGTATTATTGCCCTACCAATTGTTCTTACTATCAAACTGGTCCCATTATACAAACAATCTCCTACGCATGAATTTCTCAGTAGCATCTACATCCTGCTTTTAAGTTTAGTTCTGCAGGAGGCAAACCCGAAGGTTTCATTGATTGTAAATATTTAATGGATACTGTAAAATTTCGTTTTCATTGACAGCTTTGCCATCAGCTAGTGACTCAGCATGATCTATTGAAACACACTTAACATCCCATGGTAGTCCTTTCACAATAAGATGATTGATTTTTTCACTTCGTTGTTTCCAGCTGCTAATATAGCTCTACTCATGTCTTCCTCGGATAAATTTAATAGATAAAACTCTTCAATTAAATTATCGCATAAAATGTCTTGGGGTATTTCAAATGTTTATGATATTTTACGATTAATTAAGGTTTTTAGTTGAGATAAAAAAGTCAATGGCACGAGCGGGATTCGAACCCACGATCTTCGGCTAGATACGCCGCTGCTCTACCACTTGAGCTATCGTGACCTCGATCCACTCGGACACTAACTTCCCATCTCAACCCCACCTTTTGAGTTTCCCTCCTTTACTAACTACTACTAACTACTACTTGAAAAATGGCAAAAAGGAGGGAAAACTCAAAAGGTGGGGTTGAGATGGGAAGTTGGTGTCCGAGTGGATCGAGGTCACAATAGCTCAAATGGTAGAGCAGCGGCGTATCTAGCCGAAGATCGTGGGTTCGAATCCCGCTCGTGCCATTGACTTTTTTATCTCAACTAAATACCTTAATTAATCGTAATATATTAATTGGTGAAGCGGACCACGAAATTAGTGAGTTTATGATATTATTTACAGTATCTAATAACCAATCTGAGAATTCAATGGAATCTCTATTCGCAGGCATATTCTTGTACAATTTGAATTGCTGAAAGCTATTCCATAACAGACTATGTTTTAAGCATGACAAATTTTTCTCCTGCCTCCTTTTTACGATTGGTTAAAAAATGTCGAAAGTCTCCACCCAGTATAAACTTTTTCCCAGCAAATGCACGATTAAAAAAAATCTCTAAATATCCTATTGATAGTGGCTAATACTTATTGCAACAATGCAGCACGACACCAATATCATATAAACATGTCCTACATCAAGTTATTCGACGTCTATCGTGAGCGATTCTTTGACAATTGATTGCCTTCATCGAAATTGCGTTGAAACACGTCACAGTGACCATGAAAGTATAAAGTAATGAAAAATCGGCCCAGTTTCGCGGATAGTGGTTACTTTACTATCCCATGCTACTTCAAATGCTTAAACACAACTTGTAGGACTCGTGTGGCGGCGAACAATTCCTGGCCACCATGGTTAACGTTAACTTTCATTAACTTGAAATATTCATACTCACATTTAACGATCTTATCATAAAGATCAGAGCCTACATTGCAATATTGTTTCCACTCGGAACGACGATTTAGGGCATCATGCTTTCCATAAAATCATCCCGCCCGTAAATGTTCAACGACGATGCCCTAAATAGACTGTTGCCGTCAGCGGTTACTTCAACTTTAGCCGGGCTTAGCCCTGAGAAGGGCTGATTAAAAGGCTGATTAAAACAGCTTAAGTTTAGCCCCGAAAAGGGCTGATTTGAATTTGATTTGAACACGTTGTCAGGCGAAGGCATAATGAAATACTGTATATCCGTTCCCTCGAAAAAAAGAGGAGAGATGGATGAGCTCTTATAATCAAAAACTTCCCTAAAATCGCGAATTGCAATCCGTTTTTACTGTTTTTGTGTTATTGGATTGTTCTTAAATAGCTATTTAATACTATGTAAAAAATAGATTACAGTCCTCGCGAACAATCTTTCACAATTTTAATCCGAAAAAACCATAAATTAACTAACTTCCGGATTAAAATAAGTGCTAATAGCGATTGTTTACAAATTTCAAATTAGGCTTATTTTCTGGTAAAAACGTTCCTCTTAACAACGAACATGGTTTCTTAAAGTTTAAACTTAGAAAATAGTGAGAGAAGTGAACAATTAAAACCATTTTCATTTACCCTCCCCCATTCTTTTTCCCTTTCTACAGCACTAAAATTGTGTGTAGGTCCTTCTTTCTCTCGCACTTTAGCCAAAACTTTTTTAATATTATAGAGAGATCTAAAATAAGTATGCTTCACTGTAATATTTAATTATACATAATTTTAACTTCATTAGGCTTTTATCAATCCAATTATTTCATATTTAAAAAAAAGGTCAAAATAAAAGAAGAATCATTTGTTTCTTTATTTAATATTATATAATTTTTAATTTTCATCGTAATTAGTTTTCATATAGAACAATTATTTTATATTTTAAAAAAATCTTGGATCTACAGTAACCATATCTTTTTAATGCTTTAACGAAAGGATTACTAAATTAAAATGGAATTTGATGTTAAAAAGATGTTGAAAAGGGCGAATTTGAAGTTTAAAAAGGGTAATATCAAATTAAAAAGGGTTAATTTGACGGGGGAAAAAACTGTGTTCTCCAAAAATAACACGGTAATATGATACTGCAGAAAAAATTGATTAGCTTTTCGAATAATTTACATTTGCTAATGAAGTGGGTCATTATATACCTCGTAATGGGATTTTCCAACTCGCTGTGCCTAGATAATTTTCTAAACAATTTTGTGATGTACGTGTAATCTTATTTCATTTTTTTTTTTTTTACTGTAGTATATTCCGCAGTATGTTATTTTGAAAGGTTTATAAGTTTTGATGGTGGAATATTTTATGGATTCCCACATTTTGAACCCGAAGAGAAAGAAAGGTCGAAATATTAGGTTGCAAATTTTGATTATATACTGTACCGATAATTTGGAACTGCGGCCTAGTAGCTCATACAGTTTTTTATGTATAAGACTAAGTTTTGAAGCATTGGCTACGGCTTTCTTTGACAACTCTGTCTCAGTTTCTTGGGTTCGGTTCAGATTTCCTATGCTGATTTTTTACTTAGCTATGATGGTCAGTCCAAGTCGGAATTTTAATCGTTTGGCTTTAATTTTTGATCAGCGGTTCAATGTTTTTTTTAAGAATCTTTTATTGAAATTTCCATTTTTAAGTTATTCATTTGTGTCAGCCCCGTACAGGGACAGAAATGGAATACCGCCGGACTGTAGGAGAACGCTCGAGCATGGCAGCGAGTTTAAAGAAAAGCGTTTTAGGTTTTTGAGAGATATTGGGATAATGGGTTATATATAGTGGGGTATTTATTTCATAGGTTAACGTTTGGACGTAGGAAACTAAGCTCGATCGCGAAATCAAAATGGGGGCTGAGTCCAAGGGCGCTCTCTGTCACTTACAAAAGCGTATACCTGCCCATTGCCACGTACGGAGGAGCAGCTTGGGGAACAAAATTGCAAAGCAGGAGCAGAAGCATCCTCGAGAGTCAAAGAATAGCGCTCCTGAGAACGACTAAAGCTTATAGGACAGCCCCTACTCACGCCCTCCAAGTCCTTGCTTCCACTGCACCAATAGACATTGTCCTCCACAGTATTGCAATCCGGCAGCTAAGAGATGGAAAGGAGCCAACAATGGTAAATTTGG